TGGATTAAAATTTTGGGTTGTGTAATTTGATTATATTATTATGTGTTTTACAATACAACATCGGTTCCTAAAATTAAATTGGTGTTTTGATATTATCGCAAATTAAAATTTGCTCATTTAGTACAAATAACTAGAAAAGTAATTTAAGTGATGAGTTAATCTTTCAGTTCTCCGTGTTATCATGTTCTTTTCAATCCCACATTGATACCAAACAAAAAAAGATTTTATTTCAAAATGAATTCTTTAAAATTTATGGCATTTAGTTATACCAAACGGTATGTAATATTTTATTATTATATATGTCCAAAATCAATTAATTGTTAAAACAAAAACCCTAAACTAATTCGGAAGCACGTTCAGCTCGTCTCCCTAAAATCTCCCCTGCGCCGGCTCCCAACAAACACATTAGAGCCCCACCTCCACCATGCTAATAATGAGACCGGACCACTGCTGGATGGTAAGCAGAACCATCTCTCCTTCCTTCCAAACCCCATGAGCAAGATGAATCCCTTCGCAATTTTGCTGGCGGCCGCCCTCATTCTCTGCACTACCAACTTCCTTCTGCGATGTAACTCCATCACCCGTGACCAGCCGGCTTGCAATCGTTAACCACTACTGTAAATTTATTTATTCTCTCTACTCCAGCCGCCACCGGCGAGGAGATGCGGGAGCAGGCGTCAGGGGAGACTTCAGGGAGACGAGCGATCGGTACTTCTGGATTACTTTAGGGGTTTGGTTTTTCTAACATAAATAATAAAATAATTAAACAAATTAAAAGATAGCTAAACGTAAGTTAATTAGATCTGTAAAATTTGTGGAAGGCTATAACGAATACAGACCACGATATACGAGGAAAAAATCCCAAAATGCACCCATTATTAATCAAATTCCCAAAATAGTGAATACATACTAAATTTTGCAATCTACACATGTTTGGGTTTATCGCAGTCGACGACCGCAATAAATGCATCATCGCAGTCGACGAGCGCGGTAAAGGCCTGACCTAAGGCTAAAACTTCAAACAAACGTAACTTTGCAGTCCGTTATTTGATTGTAGCAATTTTTTTTCGTTTGAAGTTATTTTCGTTTGAAGTTTCAGCCTTATGTCACGCCTTCACTGCGGTGATGCCCAAACATATTTAGATTGTCAATATTTTTTTATAACGTATGTATTTTGAGATTTTTTTTAATAACTTGTGTATTTTGAGATTATTTTTGATATACTTTGGTATCCCCGATTGACGAGACTAGTCCACGGGGGAGCTCAAACTTTCGGCTGATATATTATTATCAATTCGTTGGTTATGACCGAAGGCCTTACACTTGCTTTTATTACAACAATTATCATATAATGCAAAGCAACTAGGGCATGTAAACAAGACACAAGCATGTGCAGCAATGGTAGCAAGTCAGGCTTGAGTGGGCTGGCCGGGGTGATGTACCGGGTCCAATATTCCCCTGCAAGTTGGAGCGTGGAGATGACGAACGCGCAGCTTGGACAAGAGGAAGAGAAAACGTTCAGCACCAAGACCTTTCGTGAACATGTTTGCGAGTTGATGATGGAAGCGGACCTTCACGGGCGCAATGTTATTACCCTGGACACGCTCCTGTACAAAGTAGCAATCCATTTCTACGTGCTTGATGCGTTCATGATACACCAGGTTGGCAGCTATGTGGAGAGCTGTCTGGTTATCACAATAGAGAGGAGTAGATGTCATCCTCCGAAACCAGCACTTAGCTTTCTCCCTAACAGCCTCATCGGAGCTCGAAGGGATCACTCAAGGTTCCCCCAAGAAGCCAAGAAACCACCACATCGATCTGCTGCCGCTGCCATCGCCCACCAGCGTGGTGTCCACCATGGATGTGAAGCCCGGCCATGATTCAAGCGACGATCAACTGATTAAGTTCGTGGACGAGAGGCAGAGCAGAGATCATGGCGGGTACTTGTTCATGGGCGCCCAAACGAACTTCATGGGAGCAGCATTTGGACAGTACCCAATTGCAGAGATTGAAAGATTCAACGCGGAACAGTTCACTCAGAGATTCTCCGGCAATGGAGTCTCGCTTAGTCTCAGCCTTCCACACTGTGAAAACCTCGCGCTGCCAGCTACCCACCACACATTTCTCCCCAACCAGAACATTCCTCTAGGGAGGAGGCTAGACCTGGGAGAAGAGAGCGAGTTTGGGGCTATTACCACCTCTGCGCCTCACTCGTCGACGACGACGTTTGAGAGCATCAATATATAGAATAGGAAGGAGTTTGCTGCACAGCTTTTGCCGGACTTCGTGACCTGAATCGGCCGCCGGTAAAGCAGAAGAAAAGCACTTCGGGATAGGTAAGAAAGTGCATGATGGTTATTGGTGAACGAAAGCTGGCTGATCGTGCAGGTGGAAAAGCAGATGGCTTTTTTACGTTTTAGTATAGGTTCTTTATACTTTGGAGTTTGTGTTGTTTGTTTTTGTGATATTTAGAATTTCTTTTTTTTCATTTTTTATAATTATAATTTTTTGGGATAATGATGTGTAATTTCTAAAAATTTAATTTTTATTTTTTAATTAATTTTTATTTGCCACGTCACACATTTAACGGTCAACTGTCAGAGTTGACCGCCACGTCAGTTAAAGTTAACGGAGAGTGACCGAACTTGAACTGTTCAACTAATTCGAGTGACTATAAATGGAATAAATTAATTTGAGTGGCAAACGTGAAATTTTATAGCAATTCGAGTGACCAAACTTGCAATTAAGCCGAATATAATGTGATACCTAAGAATTCGTTTTATACCAATGGGATTGAATTGCTTTTTATTAATTATAATCTGACACAAATAACTCGATTTTCTGTTTACTCTAAAACTTAAATAAATAATGTAAAGATCATATAATTCCAACAATAAATCCTTTCGTATATATAGCGTGTTTTCAATTTTTCATCATGGTGCTGGTGCTAATAGGTGAAGAAGAGGCAAGAGTTGGACAAGTGTTTTCAAGAAAGTATGTGACTTCGCCTATCATACTCATTTCAAATATACTATTTACATTTGTAGCAGAATTGTTTGCACATAAGCTCTTTACAGCCTACAAGCTCCACATGAAATGTCATTAACTTAAATCTCAAATATGATCTTGTCCTTACCAATGTGGTAGGAGTTTGTTCTACATTAACACCTCCTCGTTTAGTATCTTGTTAAAAATCGACTTTCTACATTCGTCAGACAAACTGTAATTTTCTATCAGTATCGTTCTAAAAGCAACAGGAACGCAATGGCAAATTTCTCATCAAATTTTATTCCTTCTTGATTATAGCCCTTCCCACTATTCTGGCTTTATTTCTAGTTACAATTCATCCTTTATGAAAAAGAATATTCCAAAGCTCACCATTTGCTTACTAGAACTTGTTTAGATAGGTCTTGAACTACTCCTCAACCCCTAATATCAGCTCTAACAATTTGATTTTCTTTTCGTGGCTTTTAGTCCCAAGATTCGAATTCAGAATGTGGTGAATGTTACATCTCACATTACCACAAGGCCATCCCTTTGAGATTAAAATTTTGATTTTTAGGTCTTCTTACATGGCAAGAAAACAGTAGTATTCCTAAACTAAGGCTCTAATGTAACTACTAGCCTCTTTGGAACATGGAAGTCATTAAAAAGTTGCATCGATTCATCAATATCCATCTAGCGAGTCATTTTTTTCATAAAAAAAGTTTTTAAGGATGATTATGAATGAGACACTACTGATGATGTTGTGACTGCAGACAGCCACCTGTGTTCTGTTCTCGAGCAACTTTCGCACCCTCTAGTTGACACGTTAATCACATGCATTCAAATGGAATGGAAGAACACTGTAGCTGTATACTATGCTATTTATATTGCCCCAATTGGAGAAAATTAAGATCCTGAAATCGGAAACTTAGAAGAATATTTGAGGGACAAACAATATCCACTAATGATGACCAGTATACAGTACGTATACTCATAATCAAACGTCTTTTAAGATGAGTATATATCCTGAATCTTTCGAGCTTTCTATACTAAAAAAATTCCCTCTTCATTCATTATAGTAACAATGATGCAAACAACCTGTTAGTTTGCTATCTTGGTACTAGCACAGAACAGATTCTCTTTCTTTATTATTATTATTATGAACAGTGAACAGATTCTCTTGCTTCTGGCGTGAACAGTATCTTCAATTAAAGCTAGCGTACCACTTGGGGTCTTGAAAAGAAGAATAAGTTAACATGGAAGAGAAGAGCACAACAGATAATAGAAACAAATTATTATATACTTTTTTTTTATGAATAAATTATTATACTTGATTGTCGAAAATATATTTATTTTGAGATGAGATTTTGATTTAAATTGATTGAAAATGTGATAGAATGGAAAACAATATAATAAATAAACAAATAGATTAATGGCTTTCGACAGTACATGACAAAATTAAAACAGACAAGACATCAAACTAAAGCGAGAAGAATTACAACCATATATATATATACACACACATATATATATATATATGATTATTAATTAACAATTCTTCTATCATTGTATTGAGAAAGAATCACAATTCACAAGGCAGCAGTAGGCAGAACTGCAGAAGAGACCATATGCATACACACACACACACTACCTGAATTAGGGTTTGGCAATCACACTAATTTGCATAGACCACATTGAACATGTAACCCATCAAGGCTCGCAATTAATTAGGGCTAATCCTCAATTAAGAGGTAAGATCGAATCACTAGTACCCTCCCTCCATGGTAAAACCATTGTAATAACAACATATTAATTCAGCAAACCGATTCTTCATTTCTTCATAATTTCGACGGAAAACATACATACTTAATGCCTACCACAGCAATAACAGTAGAGAAAGGAAGAAAAAAAAAAAGAGTAGAAACCTACCACGATCTTCATTTGTAGTTTATTATCAGGATATCCAAACCCAGCAGCAAATGAGGACCTAATCACATTACATTACATATATAAAATCAAGCCAACTCTCTCAAAGCGGAGAAATCCAGGTGATGAGGATTATTACCGACCACGACGCCGCCGCCTCTGTCGGCCGCCAGTTTATTCCCATTAACACCGCCAACGGGAGCCAGATTGGCGGCGGATGAGGAGGAAGGGGGCTTCTTGCGCTTCTTCTTCTCGTAGGTGATCCCCCTGGCCTTTGACTGCTCGTCCCTCACTTCCCTCAGGTACAGCCTCACGGCGCGTGCCCCGAACGGGTTGGTCTCGGGCAGCCCGCCGTTCTCCTCGAAGGCTGCCCGCAGGCGGCCGATGAGCGCGTCGAGGCTGCCCCAGGCCTGCTTGAGCGGGCAGGGGCATGGGGCCGGAGGGTGCGGGTGGCCGAAGAAGGGGCAGTTGGGGGTGTGGACTTTGGTCTTCCCGAACTGGTCCAGGTACCTCAGGAACTCCAGCACGTGGGCCCCGCTGCACCGCGACAGCGCCAGCGGCGGCCTGTGGTTCCTCAGGTACTGCCCGAACGTGTTCCAGTCCCGCCGCTTCTGCGACTCGTACCGGCTCAGCGGCTGCGGGGGCTGCGGCGCCACTGCCGCCACCTGGTAGTACTGGTGGTGGTGGTGGTGGTCGTTGGTGCCTGATCCTGATGAGGAGGAGCCGCTGCTGGTGGAGTTGCTCCCCATGGATCCCGCGGCGGCGGCGGCTGCGGCGGCTGCTACGGCGGCGGACATGAAGCTAGCAATGGACTGGAAAACCGCCGAGGAAGAAAGGAGATGAAGAAATGAGAGGAGAAGAGGGGTTCCAGAGAGAGAGATGTGGAGATCGGTAGCTATGTATGATTATGAAGCGTTGGAAGGGAAGGGAAGAGACGAGAGAGGGTAAAGAAGGAAAGGAAAGGAAAGGAGACAAAAGAGGGAGGGACCCATGCAAAAGAAAACGCCCACTCACGTCCCTCTCTCCCTCTCCCTCTCCCTCTCCCTCTCCCTACCCCACCCGTTATAACTATTTTTTTTTTAAATAGAATATTAATACTATGTTTTATACCTAACTACTGAATTCATCACTTAATTAATTAAGTACGTGTATTATTATTATTGTACTTTGGTGTTGACAACGTAAACATAATCAAGGTAAGAAACATAGGTTTTCAGTAAAGTACATGACATGCACATGCTAAGACATTTTCATGGTTATTATCTAGAGTTCTTGCGTTGACTAGAGTCAAAGTACTTCAATCCAATTACTTCAAGAACAAGAATAAGTCATGTGATGAAGTTGGGTTTTGGGTGTCCTCAAGGAGGCAATCCAAAGCTCATGACATGCATTGACAGCAAGGCTCAATGAGAAGGTCGTGTATTCCCAATGAAGTGAAACATGATATTTATTCACGTTACACAATCAATATCACATGATTTTTCTACACCAAATGGATCTTTTATTCATGATAAGTGGATATACAAGTAAGGGAACCATTAGATATGGTGTAAAATTAGATCAAAATAGTGATCCAATCGTGTGGAAGATATTTTTTTACAGTGAATTCCACTTCTAAGTCACCCACGACTAATAATAAACAAGAAATAAAAGTTATAGAAAATTATAGAGTACATATAGAATATAGATTCAGTTATCTGTAAGAGAAAATGTCACTAGCGAACGAGCTACCCAATAACCCCTAGAGTTAAACTTCCTAGCCATTTCTTTTATCTTAATTTGAGATTCCATACAAAGGATTGAGATGATTGATCATATCCAAGCCGCAACCCTCCAATATCATCTTGATGAATCTTCGGATAGTGGTTGAACTAGTACCTGATTGGACCAAACATTCAAATGCATATTCTAGCGCTATTTTGAGACCTTCCAAAACGGTCTTCGTTTTCACTTCAATTGGGGGTAGAACAAAGGACTGTATTAGCTCGTCCATCGCAGACATGTCCATGGTGGTCAACTACCACAACACCATAAGTCATCGGTTGGGATTCGCTTAGGAATCACCCATCACAATGAATCACTATTGAGTGATATTGCTTGACGGTGGATCACAGAGAAATTTCAGTTCCCTTGAGCTGATTAGAAGGAAGAGGAGCGAGCGAGGGATAGGGGACTCTCGGGCATGACGTCCACTCAATGAAATCCCTGGAGGTTTACATACAAATATTCTAGGGCCAAGGGGTACAGTTTAAGATGACATATTCATTTCTCACATTCCAAATATTTCATAAGAGAAATATTGTGTGAATGAGACTTCTAAGTTGGATAACCAGTAGGAAAAAAAGAGGTGGACCGGGAACGCAAAGAGATGTGCGGGAAAATGTTATTCCAAGACCTAACTGTGTGAGTGCAGGCAAAGAGACATTGAAAACATAGACACATTCGGATTCTGGCACACATGAAGAGTTTGGAGAGTACTTAAAATGGATAAGTTTCTCCTTCGTTGCCAAGCCATTCGTGGAGCACCTCCAAATGAAGAGTTTTTAAATTTGGAAGGGAGGTGTAATGTAAGTCTCACATCCATTTCCACCTCATTTGCATTGCCTCCACAGTTTGAGAATTAGTGTTGGCCTTGTGGATAGGGATGAGTGGAAGAGATGAGTGAGCTTGTTTTGACACGCCATAGTTGGTCATTCAAACGGTGTGGAATGAGCTCAACATGGATTAAGATTGTCACTCCAAGACCAACAAAATTGGGTCACATGTTACTAGTACAGTTTGATTCACTTGCCAGCCAGTACTAATATGTATATGTCGAACCAGTATCAGTAATGATAGCTAGACGTTATATTTTTGGGTACCACAAACCATGGGGTTCTTTCTTTTCTTCCATAAACATCATCGTTCCATCACATACACGTACGGTTGGTTTGGTCTAATGCCATATAGTAAGTTTACTTGTAGTTGTAATGCTCAACCTTTTGTTCCTGCAGCCACCTACCTGGCCCTATCTATCTGCCTGCCTAAGCGCTCTTCTGGGTCTGCCCCTGGCCGGTTGCTTTCCCATGTTGTTTTGGGGTTGGATTCAGTCGCTGTTTTGGGGAAGAAAAAACAGAATCCTTTTAGAAAGAAAAGGAAAGGTACAGTGGACTATCGTTTGCTTCTGATAAATCTGGGCCAAATTTAATTATTACCAATTATTATTATTGTTATAATAAGGGCACAGTGATCTCCCAGTTCAGGCAACTGGCAAGAGGGAGAGAATTCCGAAAACAGGAAGACTTATGAGGTAAAATCAGGAAAAAAAGGAAGAGAATTTTGTATGGTTTAGTCACTTGTCAACTGTTTTGCTTATTTGGTGCCCTGATCAGACCATCATTCAAAGAATCCATAATAGCCCATTTCTTATCAATTCGCTTCCAGTATTCTGCAATCTGCACTGCACCAAAGAACGAAGAGAGAGATTAAAGGAGCTTTCTACTCAACCTGAATGTCACAATGATTATTCCCACTCTTTGTGCCAATTTCCTTACACAATCCCAATGCTTTCCCCCCCCCCACAAATAAGTTACGCATTTTTTTTAAATGACAGACAACTTTCCTTAGAATTTAGAAATAAGACCCATTCCAAAAATTCTCATTACATCTCAAGAGAAGAGATCCAGTAGCATAGTTTTGGATCGTACACTTTGATCGGATGTGTACAAAAATAAAGGTAAGGGTCTTTTTTGACCAAAAAGTTAGCAACACTATTACATTCTCTATAGATATATGTAAGATATGAACACCCCAATCTTGTGCAAAACACGTTTGATTTCCAGAGCTAACAGACTATGTCGATGCTCAACATTATGGTTGTTCTTATGATGGTCACAGTTGTGGTGGAGTCAAGGCAGAGACAAACTTTCATTTAGCTAGAGTATTTTTCCTCACGAAGAAAGGCTTGGTTCAGTGAGAATATCATTAGTCTGGAATTTAGAGGTTGCAGATTTATTATCCCTTAAGAAATCACTAACCACAAAAAATAAACTTATATCACTCTTATAAAAGAAAATAGAACATTTACCCACAAATAACAAGCTAACATTCTTTCTTATATCAGTGTCTAGGCACATAAGTCTTACACTACGTTTTTCTTAATGAATACTCAATAAATTAATGTGAGATACACAACTAATCTTACAATTTTGTAAGCGGTCGTTACATAAATGTTCTTTTTTAATTCCCTGTTACATAAATGTTCTTTTGTAATTCTCTGTAAATTGCGGATTGGTCCGTAGTAGAGCTATGTTGTTGTTAGGATGACCATGAGACTCATCAAATTCCCAAAATAGATAGAAATGTACATAAATTTTGTCGTAAATCTATGGATTGAACAAATTGAAAGACTCTATCCATTCTTACTCCACTGCTGCGGTAAATTTCATGTATTTGTTGCATGGCATGATATTGCGAATTTGACTCTCCAAATCAAATAGAGAAACCCATTAAAAAAAGACTTGAGCATCGTTACTTTATGCATGATGATTAAGCATGCATGTTATGAAATCAACTATGGTAAAATGGGACACGTACCAAATTAGAACGAATATAGTCGGCAAGCGACCTAGAAATGTAGGAGAGGGGTAAATAGTAAAAACTGAGTAAGAAGTAATAATCCTCCCGAAGTCCCAACCCCTTTTGTTTATGTTTTTGGGTTTTCACCCTGTGAAAGAGGGCTGTATCTGTTGATTGACCGGTCGGTGAAAGAAGAGGGAGACAAGGGGCGGTGGTGGTGTACATAATCTGGCGTTTGCCTTTAATAGCCAGCAGTGGCAGCAAAGTTCGTATAGTTTTTGGCTGATCCAGCTGAGAGCAAAAGAAAAACAGAGCACTCACTGCCTACTGGCTACTGCTGCCTAGCTAGTCGGGCAATGTCATATCTTGTCAAACGTCTAATCTCCTCTGCAGCAAGCCCTTTTTCCCCTTTTCTTTTCTTATCTTCTTTCTTGTTTTGTCTTGTGGCTTAGATTTCATCAATCATCAACTCACAAGCCAAAAACGAAGCAAAGAAAAGCGAAAGAAAAGAGATAAAAGAAAAACCCAAACCCAACTCAATTCGTTGGGTATTCGCATGTTCATGGATATTCATGAGTTATTGTGGTAAAAAATTTATAATACCAAGTTTTTATCAAAATAAAATTCAAACATCAATTATCCAGTACAAATTATCGATACATAAAATATCAGTCTAAAAAATTCAAACAAATCACAATTACATTAAATAAAAGCACACGGAATAAGTGTAGTGAGAGTTAGATTTGAGGAAATTAGAATTAGGGTAGGGTTTGGGGGAGAGTAGGGCGACGAAATAAGTGTGGGCGGGTATCCATGGGTCGGATATCCCTAAACCCAAACCCACCGGTGAACAGTGTACGAGTTTAAACCCAAACGCGGGTTTTACCCTCATTGATAGGGTTGGGTCGGGTAGGGTACCCGTGGGTTCGGGCTTTGTTATCATCCCTAGGAAAAATTCGTCTATACTCTACCCATTTGCTAATGAGTTGAGATTGAACTAAATCTTGTTCGGCTCGCAAGTCTCGTGAGCCAGCTTTACTGGGTGGCTTGTTGAGTTCAACTCGTGAGCTAGATCGCTTGTTGATTACTCATAAGTTTGGAAAAAATCCAAAACTACCATTGTTTAAATCATTTTTCTTTTACAAAACTACCACCCAACCCTTAAATATTTACAAAAATATCACCATTAATCGAAAACCGCACCCCTAAGGGGCGGTTCTCCTTCAAACCGCGCGGGGAA